CTCACATCCAACCCAAACCTCCCCTGTCTCACTTTCAAACCATTCCCTTGTCCTGTCACCATCCATCCTTGTAAACATTCACGCAGTGCAGCAAGCCCTGCTCACATCCAACCCATCCTCACTTTAGGGGCACTATCTACCTCACCTCTGCCCAAGCGAAGCTTGGGGCTGGGGCTTTCCTCCATGACGAGAAGAAGGAGAAAATCATAGAATCATAGAATGGCTGAAGTTAGAGGGGATGTTAAAACCCTCCCATCCCTCTGATGTGGACTGGGTGCCATCACCCTCCCCGCTCCCCCATCCAGCTCAGGCTGCCCAGGGCTCATCCATGGCCTTGTCACCTCCAGGGATGGGCACCCACAGCTCTGGGCAGCAGTGCTGGGGTCTCACCATCCTCTGGGGAAAGCATTTCCTCTTCACGTCTGTTCAGAGGGCATCTTTTAGTTTAAAGCCATTCCCTTTTGTCCTATCACTATCAGATTGTGTGAAAAGTTTCTCTCCCTCCTATTTATCAGCTCTCTTCAGGCACTGGAAGGCCTCAGTGAGGTCTCCTCACAGCCTTCCCTTCTCCAGGCCGAACACCCCCAGCTCCCTCAGCCTGTCTCCATAGAGAGGGCTCCATCCTCTGAGCATCCCCATGCCCTCCTCTGGACCCACAGCCCCACATCCCTCCTGTGCTGGGGGCCCCAGACCTGAATGCAGTGCTCCACACGAGGGCAGACAGAGGGAAACAATCCCCTCCCTGCCCACTGCCCCCTCTGTTGGTGCAGCCCTGCTGGCCTTATGGGCTGCGAGTGCACACTGCTGCCTCATGTCCTGCTTTTCTCCATCAGAACCTCCACATCCTACTCCACAGGGCTGTTCTGAGGGTGTCCTTCTCTCAGTAAAATGGCTGTTCCCAATCCTTCCTTGTCCCCTAGCCGTAAGGAGAGGCATCTACGATAGGTTTGGTGAGGAAGGTCTCAAAGGTGGCATCCCTGTGGAGTCTGGAGGTGAAGATGCTTGGACTGCTGGTTACGTGTTCCACAACAACCCCGACAAAGTCTTCAAGGAGTTCTTTGGAGGACACAACCCCTTTGCAGGTGGGTGGGTGCTCTGCTGCCATCCCTGGGGCAGCCTTTAGGGCTGTGCTCACCACCAGCCTTTGAACTTCATGGTCTGTCTCAGTGCTTCTTCCTAACGGACCTCAAACCCCCCTCAGCCCCACCTCTTGTTTTGGGCTGGATGCCCCCAGCTCAGGCTGCCCAGGGCCCATCTGTGGCCTCTGGCACCTCCAAGGATGGGGCACCTACAGCTCTGGGCAGCAGTTTTAAGGCCTCACTGCCCCCTGAGTGAAATATTTCCCCATTATCTCATCTCCATCTCCTCTCTGCTGGAAGTTTTGTTCTCTCTTTCACCCTGGGACTGGGGTTTGGAGCCCTGCGTCCCTCACGCTGCCCCATGCAGAGTTCTTCACCAAGGATGGCTTGGAGGTGACCCTGCCCTTTGGAGGGCTGCGAGGAAGAGGTGTGATGAAGCAGGACCCCCCGATGGTGTGGGACCTCCACGTCTCCCTTGAGGATCTCTTCTTTGGCTGCACCAAGAAGATGAAGATCTCCCGTCGGGTAAGGACAGAGAGCTTGTGCTGGGCAGGGTGAGGACTGCTTCCCCACATCACATCACGTTGCCCAGGGTGCATCCAGCCCAGTTTGGAGCTGTTCTGACAGCAGAGGTTCCCCTTCTCTACCCCTGAGCTCATCCACCCTTGCAGGTGATGAACGAAGACGGCCAAACCAGCACCATCAAGGACAAGATCCTGATCATCGACGTGCAGCCAGGCTGGAAGCAAGGCACCAGGGTCACGTTTGAGAAGGAAGGAGACCAGGTAACCACAGTGACCTGAAGTTCTGGGCTGGATTTCCTCAGGCACAGCTGTGTGTTCTTTGCAGGTTTTCCTGTTTCTGCTGTGTCCCAGCAGTGGGAGCTCAGGGTTGTTGTTCTGCCACTGCTCCTGTGTGGACACGTGGCTGTGCTGTGCCCTTAGTGCTGACCCAGGGAAGTGACAGATTCCTCCGGAGTGCGGCTGCGCTGCTGTGCTCAGAATCGGAAAGAAAGGAGCCCCTTCTGCCTTTGGGGTCAACATAACAGAAAGGGGTGCTGTTCTGTCTGCCCTCACGTTTGCAGAACTCGCTCTGGTTTCCTTTGGCTTAACTTTGCTAAAACACACTGTTGGCTTTTTTGCCCTAAGTGAAGAAAATGCTCTTTTCTTACAAGCCGTCAACAAAGGCGCAGCTATTGGTGTCCCCTCTCTGAAACGGTGTATCCAACCATTCCCAGATCTTTTTTTCCCCCCCTTTTTAGGGCCCCAACGTCATTCCAGCCGACATCACCTTTGTTATCCAAGAGAAACCTCACCCGAGGTTTAAAAGAACCAAGGACGACCTCATTTACGTGGCCAATATCCCCCTGGGAAAGGTGAGGAGCAAAGGGAGGGGATCCCAGCTGCCGTTTGCCTTCATCCAGCAGCAGCAAAACGTGCAGAGGAGGGAGGATAGTGCTGGGTTTGAGGCCTTGGCCCTTTTGGTGTCTGGGAGTCGTCCTCCTTGGCCGCCCCACTGCTCTCATGGTTAAGGACTGGGGTCCCTGTGTGGCCACAGCTGCAGCTCAGGGTCCTGCCCTGTGTCTGCAGGCACTGATTGGCTGCACGGTGGATGTGAGGACGCTGGACGGGCGGCTGCTGAACGTCCCCATCAATGACATCGTGCAGTGAGCAGAGGGCTCGGCTCAGGGTGGGACGTGGTGCAGAGCTGCAGGGGAATGGGGGCTGTGGGAGGAAGCCCTGCAGGCTGCTGGCTGCTCTGCTTGGGTTCTTGGATGCTTCAAGAGCTTTGGGAGCAGGCTGGGGGATCCCGACCTGCAGGCAGAGTCCCACCACTGTGCTCTGCTCACCCTCAGGGTGCTTGGAGAGGCAAAAATGGGGAGGTGGGAGCTGGATGGAGCGGCGCTGCCTCCGGGTTAAGGAATGTGAGGGCAAGGGGAGGAAAGGGCAGGGTGGGCTGGCGTTGGGTGGGAGCAAATCTGCCTTCAGAAACCTCACATGTGCATGCAGGGCACTGTTTGGGGCCGTGCTGGCAGGAGATGCTCTGTGCACCTCAGTGGGGCCCCATCTCCCCCCTCAGGAGCCCATCTCAACCACCCTTCTCAGCCCTCTCTCGCTTTGCAGCCCCACGTACTGCAAAGTGGTGCCTGGGGAGGGGATGCCTCTGCTCAAGGACCCGCGGCGTAGGGGTGACCTCCTCATCCACTTCAATGTCTGCTTCCCCAAACGCCTCACGCCCGACAAGAAGCTGCTCCTGAGGCGTGCGCTGCTGTCCTAGGAGCTGTCAGCCTCCTGCTGTCCTGGTGAGGCTGCCAGCACTGTGAGTGAGGTTTAAAATGGGGGATTTCCCCACGTGCCAGGACCCCATCCGTCCACAGAACGCTGCTGGGGCTGCTCCCACCTCCCCAGCTCTGCTCCCCTCGTGTTTCAGTGCACTGATTGCTGCCCTCCTCCTCCCTTCCTTCTGCACTGCAGCGTTCCCCAGTTTTGGGCTGCTCCCTTCTGGCAAGACCAGAATCATTGAGGAAAACACCACGAGGATTGTAACCCAACTGCACCTCCGGACCAGGAGAAAAACCCACCCCTGTAATAAAAATAAGGTGATGGAGCCCCGAGTCCTGCTGAGACAAACCCCATAGGGGTGATTTATTTGCAGCATCAGTGAGGAATACCTGGATTCACCACATCCCCCATCCCACACAGCTCCTTCCCACCTCTCTGTCCCACTGCTGCCGGAAAGCACCGCTGTTCCCAACTGGAAAACCTCAACACCTTCTTCCTTCCTCTCCCCTCTCCGCTGTGGACCTTCCCTTCCCTTCTTCCATCCTTCCCTTCTCTCCATTCTCCTCCTGCTGGTCCCTCACAGAGCCGCCTTTGGTCCCTCTCATCCCACAGGGTTGGGGACCTTTGCTGCCTCCCTTCAGCAATTAATATAATTGACTGCTGCAGCTCATCAACGCTGACGAGTGGGGCTGGGGGCGATCAGGGGGGTGCAGACCGGGCCAGCATCACCACACGCTGCAGCTGCTCATAGGAGATGAACATCACCACGTTCCAGGAGCCGAGGCGCAGGAAGGAGGGGACGAACCTGCGGTGAGGACAGCAGTGTCGGAGGGGACGTCAGCCATCCCCACTTTGTGCCACGGTGGCAAAATGAGGCTGGTGAGCAGAGCGCAGCCGGTGGCGTCCCACCACTCACCCCTTGTAGAGGCCAGCGATGCCGTCCTGCAGCAGCAGGGCCAGCAGGCAGCTCGGCACATTCCGGTACTGCCCAGGGCTGGCGTTCATGTACCGCGTCTTCACCACATCCACCGGTGACGCCACCACCGTGGCGCAGAATCCGGCCCCAAAAGCAGCCACGAAGTGACAGGGGATGTTGTCTGCGGGGCAGAACGGAGGTGAGGGCTTTTGGGGGGGCTGGGGCGGCACGTGGGGCTGCGCCTTCGGTCCTGTCCTCACCTGCCATCAGCTGCGCCCGCAGCAGCGCGTCCTTGATGAGGTCGTAGGTGACGAGCTCACCGCAGTTAATGATGGCATTGCGGGCGATGTTGGGCAGCGTCCCTGTGGGGAGGGCGCTGGCGTTGGCACGGGGTGCCCCAGTGCCACTGTCCCTGTCCTCAGCTCTGTCCCCATCCCTTGTCCCCATTCAGAGCTGAGAGATGGGGTTCATAGAATCATTTTGAGGGAACTGGGATTGCTTAGCTTGGAAGAAGCTCTGGGGAAACCTCATGGCGGCCTTTAGTGCTTGAAGGGAGTGGATAAACAGGAGGGGGAACGGCTGTGTGTGAGGGTGGGTGGTGACAGGACAAGGGGAATGGCTTGAAAGTGAGCCAGGGGAGGTTTGGGTTGGATGTGAGGAGGAAGTTTTGGAGGCAGAGGGTGGTGAGGCAGTGGCACAGGTTGCCCAAGGAGGCTGTGGATGCCCCATCCATCCCTGCAGGCATTCAAGGCCAGGCTGGATGTGGCTGTGGGCAGCCTGGGCTGCTGGTTGGCGACCTGCACACAGCAGGGCTTGGAGGTGGATGAGCGCTGTGCTCCTTTGCAACCCAGGCCATGCTGTCATTCTATGATTAAGTTAGAAAAGCCCTCCAAGATCCCCAAGTCCAACCCCAACCCAGCTCCACCGTACCCACTGACCGTGTTGCTCAGTGCCATATCCCTACAGTTCTCATAGAAATTCTTCACCTTTAAGGAGGGCCCTGGCGCTGCTGCCCAGAGCTGTGGGTGCCCCTCTGCATGCTCAAAGCCATGGATGGAGCTACAGACCCAGGGCTGTGGGAGGTGTCCCTGCCCATGGAGGGGTTGGTGCTTGGGGGGGCTTTGAGATTTCTTCTCACCCAAACTGCTCTGATGCTGTGTCCTGTTCCCATCCCATGTCATTCCTCTCTTTTATTTCATCCCTATCCTCATGCCATGCCATGCCGTCTCACGTGCCTTCCTCATCACTATCTCCTTTTCCATTCCATTTCCACCTCCCATCCCATCCCATCCCACCCCATCCCACCCCATCCCATCCCACCCCATTTCCATCCCATCCCACCCCATCCCATCCCACCCCATCCCCATCCCATCCCATCCCATCCCATCCCATCCCATCCCATCCCATCCCATCCCATCCCACCCCATCCCACCCCATCCCATCCCATCCCACCCCATTTCCATCCCATCCCACCCCATCCCATCCCATCCCACCCCATCCCCATCCCATCCCATCCCATCCCATCCCATCCCATCCCATCCCATCCCATCCCATCCCATCCCATCCCATCCCATCCC